GGGGCTGGGATCTCACACTCCTCAAGGAGCTCTGGGCGGATCCTCCTCCGGCTGGGGATCCCATGAGGGGTCCCGGGGGGAATAACAGCCCACCTCCCACCGGAGCATCCCCGAGCGAGCCCCGCTCCGCCCGGGACAGCCCGTGGGCGGGCACGGAGCGGAGGAAAACTCTGTCTTCCAAAACTGATTAAAAATAGATGCAGCATCAAACTAATTATGCTGATTAATTAGCATTTGTGGAGCAGAGCGGGCACAGGAGGGGGCACGCAGGAGGAGTGGGGTCAGAGCCCACCCTGTGCTGCCCAGGCACCCCCAGGACCGGGGGCAGCACATCTGGGGGGGTCCCCAGGCCCCCCCTTCCCTCCCTGTCAGCAGCAGCCCCCAAACCCCGGAGCGCTGCTGGGAACGGGGTCAGCGATCGCCGGCGGCGCTTTGGAACCTCGCTCATCCTGCCGAGCCTCCGGGGCAGCCCCAAAGCCACCCCCGGGCCGGCCGGCAGCGAGGGAAGGAGCGATGGAAGGCCTGGAGCAGCCTCCAAATCCCCTCCTGGCCGGAGGGATGAGCAGGGACTCAGGGCTGCTCCTTTGGAAGCTGAGGAATGAGCGCATCCCACACCTGGGATCTGCCCCCCAACACCTGATGGGGGGAGAAAACCCCCCAGGGACACGGCGGGGCTGATTTATTCCTTCTGGAAAGCGGAGCAGGACCCCGGCTGTCCCCAGTGATGGTGCCCAGCCCCTGCTCACAGCAGCCTTTCCTCTCCAGCCCCCCAAAGCCTCCCCGGGCCCGGTTTCACCCTGGATTTGGGATGGGCTGCGCTCCACGATTGGCAACGCTTTCTGCTCCCTTCTGCTCCATCCCCAGGCCCCCAAATGTTGGTGCATTAATATTCATGAGCTCTGTGGAAGCATCCCGGGCCCTTCCCAAGGGCTGGATCAGGGGCAGGGTCCCGGGCACGCTCCTGCTGCTCCCCTGGCTCGGGCGGGTCCCGGCCCGGAGGATGGGGAGGAAAGGAGCCTATTTCCAGCAAAATGGAATTTATCCAGCCGCACTCAGGCATGAGGGGGCTCCGGGCGGCCGCGGGGACCGCACAGACCTGGCCGGGGGGCTTCAGGCTGTGGAGGGGGACTGGGGTCGGGAGAGGCCGGGATGCTGTCCCCAAGGGCCGGGGTGGCTCTGGCCCCGCTGGTGCCCCACGGCCGGGCACGAGCACGAAGCGCATCGCATTAATTGGATCCCAGTTTACCGCAAACAAAGAGAAGGCAGGTGACATTTACCTAGCGGAGTAATTGATATCCGAGTAATTTGCTGGAGTAACCTCATTACACGCCAGCTGGATTTCCACACCCTCCCAATCCCACTCATTACAAACAAGGTTTGTGTGTTAATCAGAGCGCTTTAATGACGGCGCTGCCCACCATCCCTGCAGCAAATAACGAAGGCACCAGATTGCTCACAGACTCCAAGAATCGCTGGATATTTTACCAGCGGGCACCGCTGCTCCTGGGGAAAACGGGGGACGTTTGTCCCTCCCGGGATGGCACAAGGGCAGAGCCGGCTCGGGCACCGCCTCTCCTGCCCGCAGGCTGTCCCTGCAGCCCTGGCCCTGCCCATCTCCTCCTCCTCCTCCTCCTCCTCCTCGGGCTGCTCCCCGGCAGAGCCCGGCTCCAGTCACAACACGGCAGAGCCGGCAGAGCCCGCAGAGCCCGGAGCGAGCAGCTGGGCACAGCGAGCATCCTGCATCGAGCCCCCGAGGTGGAACCAACCCAGGAATTAATCACGGGCTGCTTTCACAGCCTCGCTTTGTGTTTCTGAAGCTGCTCGGGCTGCCAGGGTGGGCAGGAGGCAGCCCCAGCGGGTCCCCAAGGAGGAGCCCAGCTCATGCCCAGCCACCCCTGCTCTGCCCCTCCGGCTCTCACTGCTGCTCTGCTCGGCAGCGATCGCCCCTTGGCTACCAAAATTCCACCCAGGAGGGGAAGGGAGCACCTTCCATGTCCCCCTCCTCGGGGGGACCCAGCCCCCCAGCAGGAGAGATTTGCTGCTCCACGGCTTTGCTGCTTTGATTTGGGCTGAGCCCTGCACAAGCTGCTCCACCGCCCTCATGACACAGCTCATTATCATCTCATTTGCTATTAATTTGCTTGTCGAGAGAAATTCCACTCATTTGCCTTTAATTAATGGGGGCCTTAAAATAAAGTCGGGGGGAGCTCTGGTGAGAGGATCAGAGAGGATCAAGCACCACCAAGAACGGGAAGAGCAGGTGGGGTGGAGAACTATTTATAGGACAAAAGGGAAGGGAAAATAAAATAAAAAGGACCAAAAAAAAAAAAAAAAAACAACAACAAAAAAGGGCTGCAAGGGAGCCATGGTGCTCCTCAGCTCCCTCTGCACACCCAGGCTCTGTCCAGGAGCCACCACAGCCAAGAGGCCTCAGCTGCCACAGGAGGGACCAACACTAAAAATGCCCATTATGTCCATTAGATGCCCAAAATGCCCATTTAGAGCCAGAGCTGGGGAATGCTCCGAGATCCAAGGGCCACAGCTGCCCCAGCCAGCCCCACACCACCCAATGCCCCAGGAATGGGGGCTCAGCTGCCTGGGCCCAGCTCCACACACAGCGGGAGCCCCCAGCCAGGGCTCAGACCTGCAGCTGGACCTGGCTTGGGGATTCAGGAGGGAAACAGCCCCTCCTAAACCCACCCAACCACACCGAAGGGAAGAGGAATGAGAACTGGGGGCAGGGAGGGGGGAATCCCAATAAAACACTTCCCCCATCCTCGTCCCGAAATACAAACCCTGAGTCACCGGAGCTCGAGCTGCACAGGCAGCACCTACACTGCCACGAGCTGCAGACACGGAGGTGGGAACTCATCCCACCCAGCTCCAGACACCTGTGATGGAACTCATCCCACCCAGGCTTCCTCAGAGCTCCCAGAACAAACAGATTTGCATCCTAAAGCATCTCCTCTCCCTTCTCCCAGGACCCCAGACCAACAAGGCGGGTGCAGGGATCCTCTCCTGATCTCCAGGCGTCCAAATAAAACACAGGGAGCAGAGCCAGAGTCTGCAGCAGGACCATGCAGTGCCTGGGAGTCAGGAAACCCAACCCCAAACCAATTCTGCCCCAGTTTGTCACCCAGGAGCTGTCACTGGGCAGCCCCATCCCTGCTCATTCCCCAGCAGCACTGGGGGTGACCAAGCCCTGAGACACCTCCAGACTCCCAACCAATCCCAGACAGAAACTGTGACCACAAACCCCCTCGGTGACAACAGGAGGATTTACAACCAGCTGGCAAGAACTGTCTTCCTCTGATTCCAAACAACTTTACACCCAGAAAAGCTGATTTCCAGCAAACAGAGAGTTAAAAAAGACAAGCCATGTATGAGTTTATTTCGAAGGACACTCAAGCTCCAGTCTCTGAGTTTCTGCTAAGAGGTTTCAAGCACTACAAAGCGATTTTCCCTTCCCAGGGTTATAAACCAATTAGATAAAGACCAAGTTAATCCCTTATTGTGTCCAAAAGCCACAAGCAGACACCAAACACAGAGATTAGTCCCTTCCTTTAAGCACCCTCGTTTGGGAGCATCCCTGGGCACAGGCAAAGCCCAAAGGCAGGAGCACAGAGCCCCAGCTCCAGCAGGGACACTGCAGCACCATCCTCCTCCTCCTCCTCCTCAAGCCTCCCCAGGTGACTTCATCCAGAGTCATCCGAGTTTAGCTGGACTGGGAAGGAGAGTTCAGAGCCTCACGCAGAGGGAAGTCAGGGCAGTGATGCAGAGCTATTTTTTGTGCTGTTGTTTTGGTTTTTCACCCGATTTTCCCTCACCCCACGGCAGAGGCAGCTGGGGGAGCTCAGGCCAGCCCTGGATCCCCCCCAGGCTGAGCACACTCCATGGATCAGAACACCCAGTGACAGACCCTCAACAGCCACAGCCCCACTCCCTGTCAGAGCTGGGCTCCAGCTTCCACCCAAACCACAGCTCTGGCTGCAGAGCCTGCCCTGTGCCCACCCCACATCTCTCATTGTCAAATACCAACCAGAAGCACAAAAAAATCACCAAGAGATCAGGGATGAAAACCCCAGAAATGAAACCTGAGATAGAACCCAGACACCCACCCCTGTCTGTGGCAGAGCCCAGGCACGAGCCCAAGGCCCCTCCTGGCCCCACAGCCCCAGGACCAAGGAGCAGCTTCCCCTGTGGATTTCCCTTGGCAGTCTCTGTCCACCCACAGACAAATCCTGGTGTGAAACAGCTCCGAGGCTCCTGGGAGAGGCAGCTCCTGCAGGGGCCTGGCAGCTCCCGCTCTGCCTTTCAACACCTGGCAGCAAAGGCTTCTTAGGGAAATTCTGTCAGTGCCTGTGCCCCTCTCCAGAACAGGACCAGCCCCAGATCTGCCCAGCTGGGCCCAGGGCAGCAGCGTTTGTCACTTCCTCCCTTTTCCCACCCGGTTTCAGGAGGGACAGCTCAGATTCCAACACAGCAGAGGCACAACAGGCTGGACAGAAGAAAGAAGTTGTACAATGAATTTATGCAAAATTGAGGTTAAAACAGCCCACAGGAGCTTGACCTGAGCACCCCTCCACACCCCCAGGAAATCATCCTTCTTCTTCTTCAGGCTGGAATCTTACACAGCCACACCAAGGTCTCCCAGAGCACCTTCTGCTCCTGCTGCTCCTCAGGAACAGCCAGGATCCCACACCTTGGGAGAAGCTTTGGTGCTGAGGGTCGAGGATGATTTGGCCACAGAAGCTCTGGGCTCTGCTCCTCAGGCCCAGCTGGGGCTGGGCCAGAACTCCAGCCTGGGATTTGGCACCTGGAGTGCTCCGTGTGCCAGGAATGACCTCCCCATCCTCCTGGAGGGAGATGGTTTCTGCCACCCTTTCCCCTGAGATCCTTCCTTTGGGAAGAGCTGGGCAGCAGGGCTGCTGCAGCTGGAACAGGGCTGCTGCAGCTGGAACAGGGCTGCTGCAGCTGGAACAGGGCTGCTGCAGCTGGAACAGGGCTGCTGCAGCTGGGACAGGGCTGCTGCAGCTGGAACAGGGCTGCTGCAGCTGGGACAGGGCTGCTGCTCCCCGGGAATGTGCAGAGGACAGGAGAGCCCAGGCTGCAGGGACAGGGGGAAGGCAGGGCTCAGTTCCAGAGGTGTGGTGGGAGACACAGGCTGGCTCTGCAGTGGGAACACCTCAGCATCTCTGTAAATCACCCCCTGCAGCAGCCCAAGGACTCCAGCCAGGTGCTGCAAACTTACAGGTGAGCCTCTGCTTGCACAAGGACTTTAACAGGACTTGAAAATGAACCCTGAGAAATTCGCTGCAAGGATTGCCCCTGAGCAGTGGCTGGTGCTGTCCTGTGGGACACAGCCTGGCACAGCTGTCCCTCAGGGTGGCACTGGGCTCCTGCACCCAGCAGCACTCAGCTTTGGTGCAGGAGAGGGCCCAGCGAAGAGCAGCTCTGCACCTTCTTCTGGCACCAGACTAATCCTCCAATTCAGCCTCCTTTTTGCTGCTGGGAACAAAAATGAGAAAGTAGTTTTAAAAAAAACTAGAAGCCAACAGGCACAAACAACTGGCACTTGGTGAGCTTGAGCTCCTGCAGCTCAAGGGACCTGCCACAGATTTATTCCTGAACTGACACCCACTAACCCACCTTATGTAAGAGTGGGGGACTCTGACCCTCCCCACGACCTGGGGGCCAAAACCAACTCCCTGCAGGTATTTCTGTTCACCCTCAGGTCACACCTGTGGGCTTTAGGGCTTTGCTTATGACCAGTGCTGAAAAAAGACCAAATCCCCGCTGCCCATCCCCAGCTCAGGACACGGCACTGTGGGGAGCAACGTGTGAGGCAGCGTGGCCACACGGAGCAGGAATCACCTTCTGCAGGCAGCACATGTCCTGAGCTCCTCACTGAGCTCCTCACTGAGCTCACCTGGTTACCCTGCCTGTACCTTTAATGCCATTACTGCAGCTCATGCCACCAGCAGATCCCCTTTTGCCCCCACACCCACCTCTCTGGGCTGGCAGGCTCCAGCACGTCCTGTGGAGCGCAGGGCAGCTTCCGAAGGTACTCCCTGGACCTAATGTCAGCCTGGAACCAGGGAGGAAAAGGACAAGCATGGGCTGAGCAGCCTGGCTGGTGCCTCCTCTGTGACCCCAGAGTGCCCCATCCACCCTGCTGTCAGCACAACCCTGGAACCCCAGCCAGGCACGGCAGCCTGGGGCAAGGAGAGCACCAAGCACAGCCCAGGAACTGCCAGGAAGCATTGCTGGGCATTGCCTGGGTGTTCTTGCCCCCACCCTGGGGTGTTTGCTCAGCCCTCCAGTGCTGCACGACACCAGCAGCAAACCCTTGATGCCATCACAAGCACATCCTGGGCTCTTGGACAACTTTGATGACTGGCAGTTGATTTTTACAGCCCTTCAAAGTTTTATCTCTTTTAGAAACTTCTTTCCCCAACGCGCTGCTGTGCCATTTCCAAGCAGCTGCTGTGCCCACCTCAAAGGCTGAGTCTCTCCCCACTTACAAAGCAGGATGTGACCTTCCCAGCTGGAAAAGCTTCAGAGTGTCTGGTGAGGAGCTCAGAAATTGGGTTAACACATCCCCGGGGACTGTCCTTGAAGCATTTGCTGCTCTCCACCCTGTGCTGCTCCCAAGGAGCCTCTCCTGCAGCCCTGGAGCCCCCAGGCCCTCACCCCCAGCCCTGGCTGCAGGCTCTGCCTGCTGCTGGAACCTGCTCCACAACTGCAGAGCCTCCTGCCAGCTGAGAAGGAGAGAGTTACATAAGGGGTGGTTTGTTTAGGAGATTTTTTTTCCCTTCTCTCTATAATTGGACAGTTTCATAACCGAACTGACAAATAACTTTGATCACTCTTCAGGATAAGCGATTACGTGATGGATTTTATAAGCAGGGAAGGAGGCTGCTCAATAGTCCCCACGGGGAGAGCAAGGAGCAGGAGGCACAGCTACCAACTATTTTCCTAGGGAAGAGAAAGCCCAACCACGTTCTGCTGAGAACATCAGCTAACGCTTGATGAGGTGGCAGTTCCCAGGCAGGGCTCCCTCCTAACACAGCACTGGAGTCAGCTTAAGGTGGTGATTAACCACGGGCTAATCAATAAGATGGATCACTGCCCTGCAATAATCCTCACAGATTTGGGCTATTTTCAGAGGGGATGAATGCTGGCTGTAGAAATGTTGCTTTGCCCATTACCTGAGGGGCCAGGGTGGTCCCTGTGCACAGCAAGCTTGGACAGGGTGCACCCAGAGGGAGCTGGAGCCTCAGGACACCTCAGGACACCAGGGACTGACGCCAGTCCCAGAGGAGAGGCTGATGCTTTGTCTCATTCTTCTGAGGGTGAGTGTTTGGTGTTTCACAGAGGGTGACCTGCAGGCCAGCCCTTCCTGGTGGGCTGTCTCAGCAGCTGAGGGAAGCACCAAGTGAGCAGGAGGTTGAGCAGCCAAGCAGGAATCCAACCCAGCCCGAGCAGAGCAGGCCCTGGTGCCATCCCTGGCAGCTGGAGGGTGGCAGCAGCTTCCCTGCTGTGCCCAGGGATCCCAGGAAGGAGCAGGAGTGGGCACGCACCAGGGATGGGCTGACCTGTGGCAGGAGGCAAGGGCAGCTCTCTCAGCAGGGCTTGGGACAGTTCTGGGGCCACTCAGGGTGAGTGCTGTGCTGATTATTCTGAGATGGCAGCTCCTGCCTTCCTCAGCTCCTGCCTGGGAGATCTGAGGAGCAGCCCTGGCAGCGAGCACAGCTCTCCTGGCTGGGCCTGCCACAAGGACTGAGCAGGATGTCAATGCTGACTGCAGGTGGCAAGGGGAGTTCATCCCTCTGCTTCCTCTGAGAGATCTCACTTCTCTCATCTGCACACAGGAGCTCCCAGCACAACCACACCGTGGGCTGAATGCAGATGGGACCTCCCCTGATCCCTGCCTGGATAATGCTGAATTCCTGGGAATTCCACATCCCCTAAAGCTCCCACAGCAGCTGCACTGCACACACTGCCCTCACAAACCTCAGGGGCTGCGGGCAGCTGAGCTCTCATTTCATTCCCTGGGCTGACAGAACTTCCAGACCAGGCCCTGATGATCCACAGGTCTTTCCTGACACTGGGAAACCTGTAAGCACTTCTCCTGTCAGGTCTGCAATTTCTGGAGACATACCATGGCAAGAAAAGCCACGTCAGCCACCCATGGCAGGATTCTCCAGAGCCTCCTGTTTCCTGACTCCAGCTGCAGGTGCTCAGGAGCTGAGGCTGTCAGCTCTGCCTGTGCCAAGAGCTGTGGCAGTCACCACACAGAGGAAGCACAGCAGGGACAAGTCCCTTGGAAAGGTTTAAGTGTCCTCATCTCCTGCCATCCCTCTAGAGTAAACACTCACTCCCTGTTGGACTTCTCATCTCTCTGTAAGAAAAGTGATAATAATTCATTCCATCACTCTAAGAAAAAGGTCACAGGGAACTGGAAGAGTCTCAGAACATGAGCAAATCCTGGAGATGGCTGGAAGCGGAATGAGGGTGATGAAAAGCTCCAAGACACCTTTTTGTTTCCAAAGGGAATGCTTCTCCCTTCCTCTGAACACGCAGAGCTGCAGAGCTGGCTCGGAGCTCTGCAGAGGCATCTGTCCCTGGCTGGAGCAGGTTACATAAGGAGCTCCTCCAGTCTGGCAGGTACTGGGGCTGAGCCTGGGAACTGCAGCTCTGCTATGGACACCCCAAGGCTTGTTTTGCTGCACGGAGTTCTGATTTTGGGGTAGATTACGAGTCTCGGTTCCAGGGGACACTGGAGCAGTGCCCAGTGGGGTCTCCCAGCACTGGAGACACACAGACTGGAGGCACACCCCTGACCCCAGCTGGCACAGCAGTGATGCCAATGGGCTGTCCCAGGGCAGAGTTAGGGACAGGGACACCCGGGCAGGACACCTGGAGTCACCCCTGGCTCTGGGCTGTGGTGCCACCAACGGTAGAGGGACCTCGGGGAGAAGGGAAGCACTTGCCAGGCCAGAAGCCCCAGAGGCTTTGAGCATCTCCAGAGCCTTTCCCCAAGTTGTGCTGAGATTTAAGATCAGCCGTGGCTGAGCCTCGGTGGCAGCTGCAGCTCGGTGGCAGTGATGCAGTGCTGTCACCTGCTGGCTGCTGGCTCCGTGCAGAAAGGCCCAGAGGAGCAGCACTGCGGGCTGTGCCGGCTCCCAAGCACCCGGGAAAACATTCCCAGCTCCTGGGGATTGGCACCAGCACCGCAGGAGAGCCTGCAGAGAGGCAGCAGGGAATGGGGCAGGCTGGCTGTGCAGGGCTGGGAATGACTGCGGCAGGAGAAGGGGCCTGGAAGGATGGGTGAGCAGCACCCAGGGCTGGGGGAACAGCCCAGCAGGAAGGAGCCTGTCCACGGCACAGGAAGGCAAACTGAGGCTCTGGAACAGCCCAGGGCTGGGCAAACGCCGCTGCCTGGCCCCTGGCCCAGCCGCCCCCCGTGGAAGCGCCGTACCTGGCGGATGGGCTCCGGGACGCGGAAGCGGCAGCAGGCCCTGACGAGGCGCACGGCCGTGCCCAGGCTCACACGGTGCCCCACGGACACGTACAGCGGCTTGGAGCTGTTGTTGTAGCTCCGCAGCGCCTGGGCAGCCAGAAAGGAGAGATCAGGCACTGAAGAGGCTCGTTAGAACACAGCCAAGGAGGGGCAGTGGAATTAGGAGCCAGCCAGACCCCTCGGGTGGGGTGGTGGCTCTGTGTTTGCAGCTCCCAGCCCTCCTGAACATCTTCTCCAGCCCAGAGTCTCCTCCAGGCACTGCCTGTCCCCCGTGGCCCTTCCCTGAACGCTTGAGCTGCTCTGGGACGCAGGGAGCTGTGCCAGCCCTGGCTGGCAGCACCCACAGGAGGTGTCTCACAGCTGCCTGTTCCTGCTCTGCTCTGGAGCAGACGCTCCCAGACTGATCCCGGGAAGCTGCCAGGGAACTGGCACCTCTCCCAGACTGCAGCTCACAACCCAGGCTGCTGGAGCACCTCAGGTGCCACAGCCACGGATGTGAACGCTCCCAGCACTTGAGCTGCCAACTCCCTACAACCACCTGAGCTCTCAGGAGGGGCTAGCAGTGTCACTGGTCACCTGCTCACACCTGCCCTCCTGCACAGGAGACAGCCCCGCTGCGGAGAGGGACGAGTGGCCAGGTGACAGCTTACCATGCCCAGGACCTTCCCTGAGGTGCCTGTCAGTGGGAATGTCTCTCCTGACCTCTGCAGGGAACGAACCTAGGAATGAACACACACAAAATCAGCTCTTGAGCACACAATTGCATGTGGCTGTCCAAATTCCCTTGGGACATTAAAAAACAGAGACAAATCCCAGCCTGGCCTAACCTGCTCCCTGTGCAGCTCATCCCTGACCAAGCCATCCACCTGCAGGAGGTTCTTGGCCACGCCAATGCACGGCAGGTCCGTCAGGACTCCGAGGTGACAGGCTGTGCCAAATCCTGCCAACAAGGAGCCACTGTAGCTGCAGGATGCCAGGAAACAGCAAGGCCAAGGAGCAGCACAGCAAGCAGCAGAGCAGGGCTCTCCAGAACAGCCTACCTCTGGGATGGAGCAGGCCATTCCCATCTACCAGAAGCACCTGAAAAAGCCAAAGCCAGAGTTATCTCCTGGGCACCGAGAGCACTCCGAGGAGCAAGCAGGGATGCTGGCTCTGGGGGAAGGAGAAATCTCTCCTGGTTCCTCAATTCTCCCCAGAAGGCTCTTCCTGCCTGTGCCTGACCCTAGAGCAGTGTGGGACTGGCAGTGCCCTGCTCACACCACGGGAGCCTGGCTGCTCCCAGCTCCACATCCCTGCTCCCTAAGGAAAGGGAACGGATGCTCCACCACAGCTCTGACCGTGCCCCTCCCGCCCCACCAGCTCAGGCTCCAGAGGGAGAACACGTTTCCCAGGATTCTGCAGACAGGACATCCCAGCTCAGGACAAGGAAAACACACCACACCTGAGGCTGGAGCTGGGGCTCCTCCTGCTGAAGTCTCTGGACAGCTTCCACCAGGACAGGGACCTCTCGGAAGGCCAAGAACCCGGCCACGTACGGGGCAGTGACGGGCACCATGCGGCAATCCTGGTACAGCACCTGGGGCAGGCAGACAGGACCCACAATGCTGCCAGAGCCCCTGGATGCTCCAGAGCCTCCTCCTCTGCCTCCTGCCCTCTGCTCATCTCTTGGAAAGCCACAGGGCAAAGGAAACGGATGGCAGCACCAAACAGTGATTCTGCCTTGGCCTGCAGATCACAGCAGGACTTGAGATTTGGCTCATTAAAATCCCAGCAGACAGCATCAAACTTTATTTCTCTGCTTGTTAGAGCTTTTACAGTTAAAGACAATTCTTTTGTATCATTTTGAAAGCTGGGAAAGAGACCAAAAATCTTTATTAGTTCAAGCAAAATGACTGTGAGATGCGAGATCCATGGCGGGTTTGGAAAAGCTCTCCTGTGTCACAGCCCGTGTTATCAGCTGATCCCCAGGGAGAGCTCACACACAGGACTGCCCTGGAGCACTGCAACACCTCCCTCTGCCCACAGCAGCTCCCACAACAGGCACTGCAGCTTCTCTGGCCCCTGGCTGAGTTCCCAGCCACCCCACAAAACTCCTGCAATGGGGAGCTGTTTGCATCACACCTTCCTAAACTTCTGCCTAAATCCTTACATGCGTTTTTTTTCTGTTTATCTCTTTTGGGAACATACACAGCAATCACGGAATGGTTTGGTCAGCACTGAGTTTAAAGCCCATCCCATTCCACGGCAGGGACAGCTCCCATTATCCCAGGCTGTTCCAAGCCCCAGTGTCCAGCCTTGGACAGTTGCAGGGATCCGGGGCAGCCCCAGCTACTCTGGGTGACTCTGCCAGGGCCCCACCACCGTCACAGGAACAATTGCTTCCCTCTCTCCCATCCA